TCGCCCTCACTATTCCGTGTCGGCTTTTGGAGGACGATGACTAAATGTACTCTATCCTGATGGAGCAGTTATTTTAACTGCCCTAGACACTGTTTGACATCCAGCTTGGCGCCTGAGAGCTGCTAAGGCGGGTATTTAGTCATGACTGAGAAGAAGGTAAGGGGCGGGCGTGAACCGCTGAGCGAGGGAAGTTAGTGCACATATGTATGAACGTAAGTGAGCTGAATTTCTCATTGGTCGTGAGTGTACCTTCAAGGGCAGCAGCCTTGTTAACAGGCGAATGATGTCAGGCGCATGAAGTGCAGTCACGGGCACACAGCAGAATCGATGCACGTATGCGCGCAGCGTGGTACAGATCCTACTTTGAGGCAGTACTGCGTAGATTGTACACGCGTCTATGCCAGTGACATCTCCACCTACTCCCGCATCGCAATACCACTAGCAACTAGTGAGATCCAAAAATGAGCTATGCGCCACCCCAAAGAACTCACAATAGACAACGCGCAGAGGACAGCCCGTATTCTGGGACCAAAAGAAACACCAGAAGCATGCAGTTTACAAAGGCATCTTGAATGATGCAATTTGGAGATCTCTGCGCGTTGCAAAGCCGTCGATCCCCCTTCATTCAGCCCATCACCGCGGCAAGACGCGAAGTCATTGTTTCTTAGGAATTGGAGGTAGTTGAGGTATTACGCTATGCGCGCAAAACCACTAAACATCGTCTGCGCATCTGGAAGAAAACTCGGGGCAAGCATGCTGTTTGCGGCCCCACGGAGAAAATTGATATCAATGACTCCTCTGATACGGAGGTTGTAGTAAGGTAGGGGCTTTGGGGATGACGGGAGGGGAAACAGCGTCCGCAAATGGCATTCACGACATTATCTCTTTCGAGTAGTCCAAGCGGAAGTTAAGGTTAAAACGCACAATTAGGTAAGTACATACGCAGGACCAGTAAAATAATGCGAAGAATGGACCTGGTATGCGCTGTTTAAGTAGGGAAAATAAACTGATCGTTGCAGACACTGGACAATTAGACAGGGGCAAGATGTGCGAACGATACATCCAAAGTAGGATTGTTGAAGTTGAGAACGCCCAAAGTCAAAGATGTTCAGATGCTTTCTAATTAAATGTGAACAAGGATTGCGTGCGATAGATTCTGCAATGGTGCCAAATTTTCTATTAATGGCAAAACCAAATATGAAAGAAATCAAAAGTATATTAGAGCAAGCCAACGGAAAACACCTACGTAGTCGAAACCAACCAACCGTAGGCCAACAGGACTGCAGGTCGGGGCATCCTCGGCAATGAAGGAAGTAAGGTGGCAATAAGCTCGCCGCCAAAGTGCTATCTACTAAAACTGAAGTCAGCGTGCCACTTCGGACTTGAGGTAAATCAGCAGATAGCATTGTAGCGCATGGATGATTAGGTATTTAGATAGCTATACCTGCTAGTCATTGCCCCGGCTCCACAACGTTGTTTGCATTATTATCCACATGCGAAGAGCAGTGGAATATATGTATGTGCCAAAGTGAAGGGAGTCGTTCACTGTGGGGGGGGGGGGGGTTAATTATAGTCATGGGCACATATATCATAATATGACTTACATTATTTTATGCGTGGTTTGCTAATGTCGCCCGTGTGGCTGCATCCGTCCCGCATATCACCGTGACCTAAATCGCCTCCACCCTTATCAGTCGCAAAGATAAGTGACGACTCTGATTGTCCCTTGCCGTGACTGTCCCCGACAAGAAGCCTCGTCAAAACATATAGAGGGGAGGCAACTTGATGTGTCGGTTGACAAGGCAGTCGGTGGACATCCAGGCATTTTGCACCATCCTTGCCGTATGACTGTCGCCTTAAGTCTACAATTTCAACGTCCTCAAAGTACCATTTGCGCGGCATGGGTTGCTACATCCGAATTCGGGTCCGACCCTCGCATGCTCGTGCATCCGCGCTTGCAGCGCACGACTTTACAGTCTCTGAAGATGGGTATATTAAGTAATGGCAAGATCTCATTTCGTTGGCGCACCTTTTAGGGGGTTAGAGTTATGGTTAAGGGTAAGTGTTTGGTGCTAAGTTTTAGATCTTAGGGTCAAGATTAAAAGTTATGTTTTTGGGTTAGGGGTTAGAGTACGGGTTAGTGTTAAACTCTCTATTACCCCCGCTCCCCTATGATAGGTGGCGGGGGCTAGTCTACTGCAGGTGCGGATATAAAAAAAATCCGACCGAAGTAACTATTCAAAACGGCAGACTTTTCATAAACCTCTCCTAGCGAACGCCTCCGCACCTTGTCATATACCACATGGGGATGACATTTTTAATACTCTAGGTATGTATTTACATCTTGTCAACGTTCGGACAGACAAGCTTAATCTTCCTTTGGAATACGGCGTGACGTCTGCCCTCCACAATTACCTCAAACTGGACTGCTGACCCACTCCAAGCGTGACGAACATGGTTACATCGGATTATTCCGCCACCTTACTCACCATGCTGTGGTTGCCTTGCATTAGAGTCATGCTGCCGACTTCAATTCAATTTTAAAACCTCATTTTGATCGAATTAAATGCTCAAATTCATTCATGTCCATAACAATTAACCTGTTCGGATGCGTTCAAAACATCTTTCAAAAATTAATGCGAAGGGTAGAAGAATAAAGATTGTCCCGTTGTAATTTCTATTAAGGAATGATGAAAGCTTTGAATTACGCCTCCAATGAGACGGCTTTTTACTTGCTGTATAAAAGCGCACCCAAAATTGGAAATATTGTAAGAAACAGGCTGCATTTGAAGTTTTGCAATGAGCCTGATGTTTTGTACATGTTGGGCCATTTGAGAAAATGTGTGGGATACATCAAGATGGGTGCGCCCTCGGAGACCTGAAAGTGGTAGGTTTCTTTGTTCCCAGCGTCATCTTTCAGAGAAAAGGCTAGGTTCTTCGTCTCCACACGTCCTGTTACTCGCATGATTTTATAGTTCTTACCGTCGACTTGTTCTTAAATGGAAAGTGAAATTAATCATCTCCGTCGGATCTTGAGCATCGCAACGTAGAGCGCAACTTACCAAAGGGGATAATTATTTTCAGCCCATTTTTGCTTGAAGACGACCCATATCTTCTAATATTTCCCAGCAGCCTGATCTCCTTGAAAAAAGATCATTGGTTCATTTAACATTTTGCGCTTCAATCATGACCTTGACAGATGAATAACTAAGTCAAATGTAAATCTCAAAAATATTTCAGCATAATTGAAATGAAGGTGGTCTTTTGGTACCTTTATATTTTCATCCATGACAACGGCAAGTGGTCTCGCATAGCCCGGTTGTGCGACAATGGGTTTTATGTAATGGACACCGCGGATCTCTGACAAGATAAGAGAAATGTGATTTGTAAAATCGAAATGACATATGTTTGGTTAAGATGTCCCTGTTGTTTGGTTTTATTAACGAACTTCAGATTTCACGAATTATTTTAAAATTTGGACTATATACCTGGGAAGAAGTCCCTTGAGTTCACTACGACGATCGCAATTTTTGCCTTTTCAGGATTTTCGAGTGTTAGAATAACCGCAGAGTAGTTTCCGTATGTTCCGTCATTGATCAGAAAACTTCTTCTTCCTTTTTCAGAAAAAAACATTTCACCAATTACTTATCTCTTATATTAGAAAGCACTATTTGTAGAGTATCATAAGTGATCTGAGCATCGATCAGAAAGCGACCGCATTTAATTCCATTTGTGTCTTGGATGTGTCAGTTTGTGTTTGCGAATTTGAAGGGACAAAATGTAAAAGGCTCAACAACTCACTTGGATAGAATTCTACACATTTAATCGAAGGTTCGCAGGGATGCCTTGCCGTTCCATGCACAAATCCTGATGCCGAAGAATTGAACTGTAAGGAGAAAACCACATGAATATTTCGAATTCACAGTTTCTAATAAAGCAAATTTCGACATTTTACATACCTGGGAGGATGCTGGCACCTCGTAAGCAAGGTCGATATTGGTATGTTGCTTAACAGCTAGCACGAATCCAGCTGAAAATAGGGAGGGAATTGTCAGAAATTGTCGACTTACAGCAGCTACAGAAGTGGACATTAAGCAAGATCAGGGCAATAGTCGCAGTCAAGAGGATCATTGAATGACGGATGATGCAGGTCATGTGGGGTAGTTTGGGTGGAAATAACTTTTCCTGACTCATTTAGCGGACCTATGAATCTATTTATACCATGCCAATGAAGAGTCCAGTTCACTATCCAACAGGTGACCTCGCCCTTCAGAATCAGACTGTTTTCATTGGGAGTTATGATTTGTTTACTGTACATTATTCTGACAGTTATTTCGCTCAATTCAGTATCGAGTGGGCGTCGACCTTACATCCCACAGTGCAACCAGGCACTTGCCTAAGTCGCTGCCTCGCGCTCAGACACAGAAGCACTTTTTTCCATGTTTTGTTAAGGAACACTTGGCACTAGCTTCTGCGCCTTCGTCTTGGTTCAAAACGTTTTTCTGGAAATGAACTCATGAGAGATAGCAGATCACATGCTTTATAGAATTATCCAGCAATCGGGATTGTTGGCGTTTTTACAGGTCCTGAGTCCCTCTTTGGAATGCGTTTCGATTCTGCCTTGGGTTTTTTCTATGCTAAGTTGACAAGGATTTTAGGGCTTGCATTGGGGATTTATGGCCTAGTGTCAGGGTTGCGGTTACGCTCAAGTGTTCCTTAAATACCTTCGGGTTAAGGCATAGTGTTACCTATTACAGCCATGGTCATAGTTGTCTTTAGGATCATAGCTAACCAAGGTTTTCCCAGGGGTTTACATACTATACCACCTGCCGGCAGATGCAGTATTACATGCTTTGCAATGAAAATGTACTCACGAAAAGCAGCGAAGACGAATACGCGAAAATTTTCAGTAAATAATTAGATTCAATTCTTAGAAATAAATTATGCCTGCTTTGGTGATTTGATTTGTATGGTGACATTTTGCTTGTTATGTTATCTATTATTACCCGTAAACTACAAACTGTCATGACAAATATACCGAGTTATAAGCATACTTGTGTAACACACGACACCTTTAGATAACTACGTGTCTAGCGATATTTGTTATGCATACGCGCTCGACCATAGGATTTAAAATCTCGCAGTCGAGTCAAAACATATTATGACTGAGTAATGAAACGCATTACATTTATTGTCAACTGATATAATTTGTAGTAACAAAATCTCGCGAGGACAGAGTACGCTACCTCAGAACGACGATATTTACAATTCCTGATACAAGCGTGCAGGCGAGTTCCAGGTAGCGGTTCAGGAGATGAAGATGCGATCACTGGAACAAGAAATCTATTTGCCTGACGTTTCGGATTCTGACTCGAATCCATCATCAGAGACATTCGCAGATAAAGGTGATGGTGGCACCAGGAGTGCAGTATTTATAGCACGTGGCTGCCTGGGACCGTTTGCACACTGCAATTAACCGTTCCCGGAATCACCGCTGCGGTCGTAATTGATGCGTTAGTGGCTTGTCGGTCCGAGTCCGAGTCGTTAATTGCCGTGATTTCGTAATCCGTGCTGGATGCTGGTGTGACGAGTGCTCGGCAAACTGGCTCACTGTCATTGTAATGATCGCTCGCCCGCGCCCTCCCCACGTGACTGATTTTCCTGCCCAGGGAAAATCGCAGTACGGAATAGGGTACCGGGAGATCATTGTGCTGGTTTATGGTTGCAGTCCTTAGAACCATGAGTCGAGCAGCTCGAGGCTTACGCGGTTGTCACCTCTTGCGACGATTGTTTGTGAACAGCAGAAATATTTTTAAATTCGTATGGATGGAGTCCTAGCTTTTCAATGCCTTTAACACTTAGGCAGTTTTTACGTCGGCACATATAGTAGAGACGACTAAAACTTGCAGAAATCGCCAATCACTTCTTAAGTCTCTATATTTTACAGTATTCACCGGACTAAAACTTCATTAACTTAGTGAATCATGCGCGTTGCTCAGCCTAATGACTCAAGTAAAGTAGGATTAGCAGGCCAAATCACTGAATATAAAAGAGAATCAAACGCGACTGCTTCACTGAGCATGCAGGAGTTTTCCGTTAGTGCGCATTTACCTGTTTCAGTCCGTTGGAACTATGAACTTTCGTTTGGTAAGGCGGCTCACCAACGTGGTACTTGCGCGGGACGTGGTTGGCGCGCAAGGGCTGCAATGTAATATCCCGAAGATTTGTATTTGCTTTAGTTTTCAAAAATTATCGTAGACCCATGAGTCGAACAGCTCTCGGCCCACGCGCTTGCATTTGAAACTTGAAAATGTGGCCGGATGCCGTCTTTTCGCATTACTGCTGCTGTGTGCCCGAACACTGGTGTCCAGAGTAATCTCCCAGTTTCTCTGCCTTAGTTGCTGTTCCCGCCACTGCACCGCTGGCGGTAAACGACTTCAGACGCTTCCTGTCTTGACAACTGGTCTTTCGACCTTATGACTTGGGGTCTGAACGTCGCCTCCGGCGTAATCCCGACTCCGAGTGCAGTAAGAAGTAGACTGGCGACTTCCGATGAATTCTTCAAGTACAGAGGAGCAGGCCAAAAATTAGTGCTAGTTGTCCTCCCGTGTCATTTATAGTACACATGCCCTCCCAAGCAACGGCTGTGTTTGATAATAGGCTCGAATGATAATTCGAAAGGTCAGGCCAATATTCCTGTTCCTGTGGTCGCATCCTCCTCTTTTTCTTCTCCTTCTTTTACGAAAAGCTTCTGAACATCCTCGACAAATGCGACCGCTAGCCCTGACGTCCTATTGTTGTCCGTAGACTCAAGCTCACTGCAGTCTTCTGACTAGTCTGTGGTGAGGTACCTGACTAATTTACCTTTGACAATTTAGTCCCATTTTTTTGACCGCATTGCTTGTTTGAATGTGACGAAAAACGACACACCTGTACAACCCGCGTTGCTAACGTGCTCCTCTGTCGTGGTCTGTTGTCAGTTTTCTTAACGTTTAAAATCTCTATATTATTCATTGCTCCGTCTTTCCTTGCTGCCTTAAGGCTAAGGGCTCGTGAGATATAACTCGTTAGTTCGTGAGAACATTACCACTTACGACATTGGTGACTCCCGACGTTTACGCAGACTTTATACCTTTCTGTCCTACTGGATAACAAGTAACGTACTATTTGCTTGGGAATATCTATTCCATTAACATTTAATTTTCTCCCGAATTCTGTTATTTTGACATATCTGTCTTATTATGTCTCGCTCCGATCAACAACTTGATGCCCCCGCCCAGTCCCTTCATGCAATCAATTTTACCTGGCCTGAATTCTGGCAACACGCTCCAGAACTTTACTTCATGCGCATAGAATCACCCTTTTTATTCTGCCAACGTTACCAAGGAGCTAGCAAAATACCACAAACTTGTAAAGGTCCTCCCCGCTAGTGTCATTTCTCAAGTTCAGTCCTTCCTATCTAATCCTTCTGCAGATGCTCCCTACTCCGCGTTAAAGGCAGAAATCCTCCGACTTAATTCTGTGTATGACCAACAGAGATATCACCAGTTAATTAAGGAGGATTCACTGGGTGATCGGAAGCCCTCAGAGCTTCTACGTCGGATGCATTCTCCCCTTGGAGACATGCAAGTTAATGATAAATTTGTCAAGGAGATGTTCCTAGAGCGTCTGCCCCCAGATGTTCAAACGATTCTGGCATCTGGTTATCTGGATCTTACGGTATCACAGCTGGCGGAGATGGCAAATCGAATATCAGAAGTGCAACGGTTCTAGTCACCTTCCGTTGCCCAGATCTCCTCATCTTCATCGTCAGTGAATGAACATCTAGTGAAACAGGTGTCGGCCATGGCGGATGAGATGGCCCCCCTTAAAATACAGCTCGCCCGCCTAACTTCCAGTCGCTCATGCAGTCGTCGTCGTTCTCGTTCGCGACCTCGGATTGCTGATACTTGCTGGTACCACACTAATTTCGGCGTAAAGGCCCGTCGCTGTTCCTCACCTTGCTCTTTTAAGCCAAAACAGGGAAACCAGTCAGCCAGAGAATAGATGCGACCGTTTTCTCTGGCTCTTCCGGCTCTGGTAACACCTTCTATGTTTGCGACACTGCGACTCGCAGACGTTTTCTGGTGGACACAGGAGCTCAAATCAGTGTTGTTCCTCCAACTGCAGCTGATCGTCGTTTCCCTAGCCCTGGTCTTCATCTTCAAGCTGCTAACTGTTCCCAAATTCCCACTTATGGCAATCTGTCCCTCACCCTGAACATTGGCCTTCGTCGGTCATTAAGTTGGATCTTTGTGATTGCTGATGTCCCTCATGCAATCCTCGGCTCGGACTTTCTTGCCGAGTTTGATCTCCTTGTTGACTGTCGACGTGCCCGTCTTCCCGACCGCACAACCGGTCTGTTTGTTCGTGGACTAACTCCCTTTACAATCCCCACAAACTTATCTGTTTTGGATACGGATATTGCTAGTCCTTTTCGGCAACTGCTTCTTAGTCACCCCAACATAATTAACCCCCAGTTTCGCAGCGGTGAGGTTCAACATGATGTTGTGCACCATATCCGCACCTCAGGTCCTCCCGTGTTTGCTCGACCGAGACAAATAGCACCGGAGCGTTTTCAGGCCGCGAAGGCGGAGATTGAACACATGCTGCAACTGGGAATAATTCGACCGTTCGAGAGCCCTTGGGCGTCCCCACTGCACATGGTGCCCAAGGTGACATCAGGCGACTGGCGACCCTGTGGCGACTATCGTGCCCTCAACAACGCTACCATTCCTGATCGGTACCCCGTGCCTCATCTTCAGGACTTTGCTGAAGCCCTTTACGGCAAAGCGGTTTTCTCGAAGATTGATCTGGTGCGTGCCTTTCATCAGATTCCAGTCGCCCCTGAGGACATCCCTAAAACCGCCATCACCACACCCTTCGGTCTCTTTGAGTTCGTACGCATGCCGTTTGGTCTTCTTAATGCTGCCCAAACGTTCCAGAGGTTCATTGACCATGATTTACGTGGCCTACCCTTTGTGTACGCCTACATTGATGACCTCTTGGTGGCCAGCCGGAATGAAGAAGAACACAAAAAACATCTTGCCTTGGTGTTTGACCGTCGTGACAAGTTTGGTGTTGTCATCAATGCAGCGTATCCTGCCCGGGCCGTCAGGACATCATGCCACAAACGCGTGACAAACGAACGATCAAGGTCATGGCCCCCTGTTCACACCGTCTTTGTGCTGATTGGCCACCCATCAGCCTATGACAGTCCCCCTTGCCATATACCCGGCCGTTTCCACAAGCCTCCTCACTTGTGCTGTCTATCGTACTCAGTACACGTCCTATTTCCAATGAGCCTTCTGTTTTGGATACATAACATTGGCGACGCAGCCTAACGAACATGTCTTCATTGCTGCCTACACCGCTACCTTTTTGGCCAAAGAACACCCCGAAGCCCTCAAATGACTCGTGGTTGCAATGGAGGAAGACATTTGACGATTATATTGAACTACTCCCGATTTTGTCACCCACGATTGTACTGGACGTCCCGTCTAAGTTGAAACTCCTCCAGGCGAATCTCGGAGAGTTGGGATAACGATATTTCGATGCCCCCGATCTACAAAAGGCTATAGATCTCCAAACAGCCTTCTCAAAACTCGAGTCAGCGTGGGGAGGAAAGGACAACGTCTTTCTCAGTCGCTATCGGTTTTGTCAAATGCGTCAAGAATCCAATCAATGTGTCAGTGATTTTATTACTAATCTGACTCTGGCCATTCAGGACTGTGGGTATAAAGAGAGCAAGGCAGACAACTTCGAGCACGCAATGCTCGTTCAGCAGTTGATCGTCGGTCTACGCGATGAAAAAGCTTGGGAAAATCTCTTATCAGAGAAGAAGGATTTGTCATGGGAGAAAGCCTGTGATATTGCCAGTCATCAGGAGCGCGTGCGGCAAAACCTTCAGCAGCTGAATCAGTCAAACGATGGAGTGATAGCATCCTTGGAATCGGAAATGGCTGTCTCCCTGGTCAACACTGCTGTGTCTTCACCTAAACAGCGACCCTCAGCTCCCTCAAAACAACTACCATCCTGCTACCGTTGTGGTCAGCATCATGTCCGGTGGCCAAACTGTAGACACCAGAAGACGGTATGCCAGTTTTGCAAGAAAGTAGGCCACATCGAACAAGTGTGTTTCTCCAAAAGACGAGCAAATAGTAACACGCATGCGACCTACCCTAGTCCAGCTGGGGATGGTGAGGCGATACTCCGAATGTTTCCGGCCAACGCTACTCTCCAATCCCCCTACATCATCACGCTTCCGGTTGATCACCATCCCGTGAAGTTTGAAATCGACACTGGCTCAGCTGTTACTCTCATCAATGAGGCCTCTCTTCAGAAATTACCCTCCCTCCTTCCGGCTAGCTCAACATTCCGTAGTTACACTAGTCAGAACGTAGACGTTCGAGGGGTCTTTACAGCCGAAGTCGAGCATGATGGAGAACTTCATTACTTGCCGGTTCATGTGGTGAGAGGGAGCCAGCAACCAAATCTCCTTGGACGGAATTGGATTAACTGCGTGCCTTCTGTGCTATCCTATGTACATCGGATTGGTGTAAATCCGGCTTTAGATTCAATTTTGGTAAATCATAAGGATCTATTTCGTGACGATTCTGCTACCCACTACCGCGGTCCACCTGTCAAGTTCCAGTTTCAGTCAGATTTCCGGCCCCGGTTCTTCAAAGCTCGTACAGTCCCCCATGCAGTCGCACCGAAGGTCGAAGAAGAGCTGGATCGCCTACAGAAAGCGGATATTATTGAGCCCGTGCAATATTCGGAATGGGCAGCCCCAATAGTTCCTGTTCTTAAAACCGATGGTTCTGTGCGTATCTGTGGCGACTATAAGCTGACAATCAACTCAGCAACTAAACTGAACCCGTATACTTTCCCGCGCATCGAGGATCTGTACGCATCTCTCTCGGGTGGTCATCAGTTTTTAACTTTGGACCTAAAGCATGCCTACAACCAAGTCGTCCTAGATACTGAATCCCGAGATGTCACCACCATCAATACGCATCGGGGTTTATTTCGATATAAAAGACTACCATTTGGAGTAAGTTCGGCTCCCGGTTTATTTCGATGCTTGATTGATAATCTCGTGAAGGATATACCTCACGTTTGCGCATATCTTGACGATATATTAGTTACCGGGCCATCTGAACATAGTCATCTGGAGACTCTAAACATCGTGTTAGGACGTTTAGAGGACGCCGGTTTTAAACTCAGGAAAGATAAGTGCACTTTCCTTGCCGAGTCGGTAGAATACCTGGGCTTCAGGGTGGATAAAACTGGCCTCCATCCACTCGAACATAAGCTCAAAGCCTTGAAGAAGTCGCCGCGCCCCCATAATACTAGTCAATTGCGTTCGTTCCTGGGGTTGGTCACCCACTTTAGTCGCTTTATGAATCAATCAGCTACAATTCTCAAGCCTCTTTATCGACTACTTGAAAAGAATTGTGGCTGGCACTGGTCGGAGGTCGAACAAAGTGTTTTCGAACAGGCAAAGGCGGCTCTTACCTCCTCATCTGTCCTAGTTCACTATGACCCCGAAAAGCCTATCATACTGAAATGTGATGCGTCTCCGTACGGCGTAGGTGCGGTTCTCATGCATCGAATGCCTTCGGGTTCGGAGATGCCGATTGCTTTTGCATCAAGAACCATGTCACAGGCGGAAACCAACTATTCGCAACTAGACAAAGAGGCCTTAGCAATAATGTTTGGCCTACATCGGTTCCACCTGTATCTTTTTGGCCGACACTTTGAAATTCACACCGATCACAAACCCCTCTTAGGTTTGCTGGGAGAAAAACGAGGGATACAACAGATGTCCTCGCCAAGAATGCAACGATGGGCACTCACTTTATCTGCTTACACGTATGCAATGAAATACGTTACAGGTAGTGCAAACGTAGTGGCTGACGCCTTGAGTAGGCTTCCTATCGTGGACGATGGCATTAACTGGGCACCTGTTTTTGAGACGGTGAATCTTTTGCAGAATCTAGTCAACGCGCCTGTAACCTGTCAACAAATTCGACAGTGGACATCGAGAGAACCTCTCCTAAGTCGGGTAAAAAGAGCCTTACAATCTGTCTGGCCGTCCTCTACCTCCTCTCATTTTCAACCATTCTTCAGCCGTCAGAACGAGTTAAGTCTACAAGACGGATGCATACTATGGGGCAATCGTGTAGTTGTGCCACCACAAGGCCGACGGGCCATCCTCAGAGACCTGCATAATGCTCATCCTGGTACAGTTCGAATGAAAGCTCTCGCCCGCAGTTATGTTTGGTGGCCCAAAATTGACGCAGATATAGAAAACGTGGTGAAAGCATGTCACTTGTGCCAAATAACACAGAAGAACTTACCGAAGGTTCCTCTGAAGCCTTGGGCCTGGCCCGACTCGCCATGGAAAAGGGTACACGTCGATTATTTTGGGCCGTTCCAAGGCCATATGGTTTTGGTGGTAGTTGACGCCCACACTAAATGGACTGATGCGATTCGGACGGGAAATTCTTGTTCCTCACTGACTACAATCAACAAGTTGCGAACCGTCTTTTCTACTTTTGGGATACCTGAAATCGTCGTTTCAGACAATGGCCCGGCCTTTAATAGTGCAGAATTTAAAGATTCCATGGAGAAAAATGGAATTACGCATTTAACTACTGCCCCGTACCACGCTGCTTCAAATGGCCTCGCAGAGCGTGCAGTCCAGACAATAAAGCACGGACTAGCCAGACGGACATAAGCGGACTTGGCCACCAAGTTGTCACTCTTTCTGTTCAGCTATCGCATAACACCAAACGGCTCAACGGGTGCTTCGCCTGCAGAATTGATTTTCAAGCGGCAGTTGCGCACACGACTCGACCTGCTTAATCCATCAAAGCAGGATAGGGTCATTGCAAAACAGACGAAGATGAAAGAACGATATGATGTGAGCAGCCGACCACGAGTCGTCGCGCCCAACGAAAGTGTCTACACGCGACTGGAACACGAAACCAACTGGTGTCCAGAAGGTGGGAGAATTGTGCGTCGACATATGGACCAAGTTCGCAGCCGAACGGACACAGTAAGTGGAGAATTCGGAGAGTTAGAACTGCCAGCAACCCTTGATAGGGATCCTGACATCCCGAGGACTGAGCCCCAACTTCCTGCACAGGGCACTACGCCATCCACCGAGGCTTATGTTCCACCTCCTTCTACCCCGGCCAGCACTAACTTAGGGGCAGAGGAGCCAGTGACTGCACAAAGCGGTGCAGAGGTAGAAAATACCGCCCTGAGAAGATCGATCCGAAACCGCAAACCCGTCCAACGCTTTCAGGACGAATCTTATTAGAACATTGACTGACAATCCACTATTACCTTTACTGTTCCCCTCCCCTCCCCCTTATGCTCACCACTTTAGGGTGGAGGGATGCAGCGTATCCTGCCCGGGCCGTCAGGACATCATGCCACAAACGCGTGACAAACGAACGATCAAGGTCATGGCTCCCCCGTTCACACCGTCTTTGTGCTGATTGGACACCCATCAGCCTATGACAGTCCCCCTTGCCATATACCCGGCCGTGCTCACAAGCCTCCTCACTTGTGCTGTCTATCGTACTCAGTACACGTCCTATTTCCAATTAGCCTTCTGTTTTGGATACATAACAATCAACCCCTCCAAGTGCGTGTTGGGTGTGCCTTCGCTCGAGTTCCTTGGTCATCAGGTTGACTCTGAAGGTTTGCGTCCCCTCCCCTCCAAGGTTGAAGCAGTTCGTAATTTTCCTCCTCCAACTTCCAAGCGTCAGTTACAGCGATTCCTCGGCATGGTCAATTTTTACCGTCGGTTCATACCGAACTGTGCTGACCTCATGCTGCCGCTCACCAACATGCTTTCTGGTCCCAAAGGTCCCCTCGAGCTGACTGGTGAAGCACTGACCGCTTTTGAGAGAATCCAGAATTCGCTTGCCGATGCCACCTTACTCACGCATCCCGCTCCGGAAGCTCAGTTGTCCCTGATGGTAGATGCTTCGACCGTAGCCGTAGGTGCAGTCCTTCAACAACACCTTGCTGGTTCGACTCAACCACTTGCCTTTTTCTCCAAAAAGCTCTTACCATCTGAGACGCGCTACAGTACCTTTGGCCATGAACGACTTGCCATTTACCTGGCTGTGAAGCATTTCCGGCATTTCCTTGAAGGTCGTGGGATAGGCATGAAGACTAGACCAGACGACACCACTGCATCCTAACACCATTTTGGCCTACTGCAGCTGCCTGAGACGTGATCCGCGTGACAGTGGGCTGGTGTCAGTTGGTGCGGTGTGGACCTGGTCATAGTTCGATATCAGGACAGACACCCCGCAGCGACCTAGAGAAATGTCCTCAGTTAGACAGCCGATGCGCATCCGATGGAGCAAATTACACCCCAGACAGCTGCCAAAGAATCATCGCAGTAGATAAAACCGCCTAAGATTACCGACAAATGAGGGCTTAAAAGCTGTCGGCAGAGTCGGACGTATCTCAGAGGATTTATTTGTAGATAGTTATACCCGCTAATCATGGGCCCGGCTCCACAACGTTGTTTGCATTATTATCTACATGCAAAAAGCAGTGGAATATATGTATGTGCCAAAGTGAAGGCAGTCGTTCACTGGGGGAGGGGGGGGGTTTAATATAGTCATGGGCAGAGATATCATAATATGGCTTACTTTGTTTTATGCGTGGTTAGCTAATGCCGCCTGTGTGGCTGCATCCGAACCGCATATCACTGTGACCTAATTCGCCTCCACCCTCATCGGTCGCTAAGATATGTGACGGCTCCGATTGTCTCGTGCCGTGCCGGTCTTCGGACAAGAAGTCTCGTCAAAACATATAGAGTGGAGGCAATTTGATGTGGCGGTTGACAAGGCAGTCGGTGGACATCCGGGCTTTTTGCACCTGCCTTGCCGTATGATCGTCGTGCAAAGTCTACAATCTCAACGGCCTCAAAGTACCATTTGCGCGGTATGGGTTGCTACATCAGAATTCGGGTCCGATCTTCGCACGCCCAAATTATGCTCGTGCATTCGCGTTTGCAGCGCACGAATTTACAGTCTCTGAAGTTGGCTATATTAAGAAATGGCAAGATCTCATTTCGGTGGCGCACCTTTTAGGGGGTTAGAGTTATGTTTAAGGGTTAGCGTTTGGGACTAAGAGTTAGGGGTTATGGTCAAGGTTAAAAGTTACAGTGCGTGACCTATCTCATGAAATGTTGGCTGAAATTCTCAAATGCGTTTTCGATTAGGAAGGATTACTTGGTCGCGGTTGTGATACTGATTATCTTTAGCCATACATTTTAGACTCGGCAGGATGTCTCCTTTAAAATGCACTTCTTTTCAATCTCCTGTAGAAATCGTGCTCGGTAAAAAATGACAACTTAATTAGCATGCATTTTTTCCATTGATTTTCGATGGTTTTGAAAAGTCGAATATATGTTATAGAAACCACAAAAAATGTGCTTTCTTTTAGTCAATCAATAGACAATCACGTCTTCTTTATACTTTCTATTGAAGAAAGAAGGATAATTACGATTTAAAAAAGTTTCTAATTATGAGACTTTTTAGGACCGCGATATGTCCAATCACATAGCATCGTACCTGGCCGTTTACCACTTCTCCTCATGAAATGTACGACATAGTCCGCATCCATTGCAAAATTTTCTGGACCCTGTATGATATCTATTTAATGACATAGAAAAATATGGGATTTTCTTTACGCGGAACGCATGCACTTTGTAGAGTGTAATCACTAAGCGCTAATGCAACGAATGGTCAGACTCCAAATTATTCGGCAATTAGAAAACTTTTTTAAAACCTAATTATCATTCTTCCTTAAATATAAAATGTAAAGAAGACGTGATTCTCTATTAATTGACTAAAAGAAAGCATATTTTTGTTTGTGGTTTCTATAAAATATATTTGAATTTCAAAGACCATCGAAAATCAATGGGAAAAATGCATGCTATATAAGTAGTCATCTTTTCCGAGCACGCTTTCTAAAGCAGATTGAAAAGAAGTGCATTTAAAAGCCGACATCCTGCCAAGTCCAAAATGTTAAAAGAGGTTGCCTTAAGATAATAAGTATCACAACCGCGACCAAGTAATCCTTCCTAATCGAAAACGCATTTGAGAATTTCAGCCAACATTTCATGAGATAGGTCACGCACTGTATGTTTATGGGTTAGGAGTAGGGGATTATGTTAAACTCTCTATTACCCCCGGTCCCGTATGACAGGTGGCGGACTCTAGCCTACTGCAGGTGCGGCTATGAAATAGAACGAAGTAACTATTTGAAACGTCAGACCTTTCATAAACCTCTCCTAGCGAACGCCTACGCACCTGGTCATATACCACGTGGGGATGACATTTTTAATACTATAGGTATGTACTTACATCTTGTCAACGTTCGGACTGACAAGCTTAATCTTCCTTTGGAATACGGCGTGACGTCTGCCCTCCACACTTACCTCAACCTGGACTTCTGACCCACTCTAAGCGTGACGAACATGGTTACATCGGATTATTCCGTCAACTTACTCACCATGCTGTAGTTGCTGTGCTTTTGAGTCATGCTGCCGACTTCAATCCAATTTTAAAACCGCATTTTGATCGAATTAAATGCTCAAATTCATTCATGTCCATAAGAATCAACCTGTTTGGATGCGTTCAAAACATCTTTCAACAATTTATACGAAGGATATTATAAGAAGAACGATTGTCCAGTTGTCATTTCTATTGAGGACAGATGGAAGCTTTGAATTACGCCTCCAATGAGACGGCTATTTAGTTGTTGTTTAAGAGCACACCCAAAATCGGAATTATTGAAAGAAACAGGCTGCATTTGAAGTTTTGCAATGAGCCTGATGTTTTGTACATGTTGGGCCATTTGAGAAAATGTGTGGGATACATCAAGATGGGTGCGCATGATTTTGTAGTTCTTACCGTCGACTTGTTCTTAAATGGAAAGTGAAATTAATCATCTCCGTCGGATCTTGAGCATTGCAACGTAGAGCGCAACTTACCATAGGGAATAATTATTTTCAGCCCCTTCGTGCTTGAAGACGACTCATATCTGCTAATATTTCCCAGCAGCCTGATCTCCTTGAAAAAAAGATAATTGGTTCATTTAACATTTTGCGCTTGAATCATGATCTTGACATATGAATAACCAAGTCAAATGTAAATCTCCAAAATATTTCAGCATAATTGAACTGAGTGTGGTCTTTGGTACCTTTATATTTTCATCCATGACAACAGCAAGTGGTCTCGCATAGCCCGGTTGTGCGACAATGGGTATTATGTAATGGACACCGGGGATCTCTGACAAAATAAGATAAATGTGATTTGTGAAATTTAAATGACATATGTTTGGGGTAGACGTAATTCAGATTTCACGAATTAGTTTAAAATTTGGACTATATACCTGCGAAGAAATCCGTTTCGTTCACTACGACGATCGCGATTTTTGCCTTTTTGGGATTTTCGGGTATGAGAATAACCGCAGAGTAGCTTTCGTAAGTTCCGTCATTAATCAGAAAACTTCTTCCTTTTTCAGAAAATAGTACAACAGTTATCTTTCCCAAATATTAGAAGTCACAAATTGGAGAGTGCCACAAGTGATCTGAGCATCGATCAGTAAGAGACCGCATTTAATTGCCTTTGTCTCGTGGGTGTGTGTGTCTGTTTGCGTTTGCGAATTTGAAGGGACAAAATGTAAAAGGCTCAACAACTCACTTGAATAGAATTCTACACATTTAGTCGGAGGTTCGCAGGGATGCCTTGGTGTTCGATGCGCAAATCCTGATTCCGAAGAATTGAACTGCACGGAGAAAACCACAGGAATATTTCGAATTTCCAGTTTTTAATAAACAAATTTTGACATTTTACATACCCGGAAGGATGCTGGCACCTCGTAAGCAAGGTCGATGTTGGTATGTGGCTCAACTAGTAGCCAGAATCCAACTGCAAATGAGGAGGGAATTGTCAGAAATTGTCGACTTACAGCAGCTACAGAAGTGGACATTAAGCAAGATCAGGGCAATAGTCGCATTCACGAGCATCACTGAATTACGGATGATGCAGGCCATGTGCGGTAGTTGGGATGGAAATAACTGTTTCTGCCTCATTTAGCGGACCTATGAATTTATTTACGCCATGCTAATGAAGGGTCCAGTTCACTATCCAACAGGTGACCTCGCCCTTGATTATCAGACTGTTTTCATTGGGAGTTATGTTTTTGTATTGTACATTATTTTGACGGTTGTTTTGTTCGCGTTTTTGCCTGTTCAGGCGTCGACATTGCACCACACAATGCAATCAGTCATTTACCTGGGTCGCTGCCTCGCGCACAGACACAGGAGAACTTTTGTCCGTGTTTTGTTAAGAAACACTTGGGGCTAGCTTATGCGCCTTCATCTTGGTTCTGAATGTTTTTGAAAACTAACTGATGAGAGATACCATGTCACATGCTTTGTAGAATTATCCCGCAGTTGGGATTCTTGGCTGTTTTTACAGGTCTGGAGTCCCAATTTTGCAAAGCGTTTCGATTTTGCCTTGGGTTTTTGGTATGCTTATTTTGACAAGGTTTTTAGGGCTTGCGTTAGGGGCTTATGGCCTTGGGTCAAGGTTGCGGTGACACTCAAGCTTTCCTTAAATGCTTTCGGGCTAACGCTTCGGGTTACCTATTACAGTCATGATCATGTTTGACATTAGGATCGTAGTTCAACAAGGTTTCCCGAGGGGTTTACTTACTATATCCTTACCGGCAGATGCAGTATTAAATGCTCTGCAATACAAATGCACTCAAGAAAAGCAGCGAGGACGAAAACGCGAAAATGTCCGGTAACCGAGTAGATTCAGTTCTCAGAAATACACTATGCCTGCTTTGGAGATTTTATTTATATAGCGAATTTTTGCTTCTTATGTTATTACCTATTAATTCATGTAAAACATAAACGGTCATAAAACATGTATCAAGTCATAAGCATACCTGATTGACACCCGCTACGGTAGGATGGTAGATGGTAGCCCTGCCCACTCATTCTTCAATTGCATTTACTGGCTAGATTTCAAGCTCTGTGAATACGCTCTTATTATGTCTGGGAGTGCACGCGCAGAAGCCCTGTCAGGATGAATTTCTTCTTCACTCTATCCGCCCCGAGAACGAGGCACTGCAGAAATGTCTCTATAGACTCACTGTATTGCACCCCCAC